TCGTCTTCTCACTATCTACGTGTTCGAATTTGTGAATAAGTTAGCTAAGACTTCTGAAAGAGCTGGCAGCCCTCATAAGTATATTTAGGAAATAAAAAAATATCTTGCGTCTGATATTGTGATATCTACATATTTCATATGCCTGATGAATTAAGTCAAAAAAGATGAAAAAAGTTAAGTGACAAGGCTCCTAATGCAGTTCAGAAAAAAAGCCTTTTTAAACCCATTTCATTTGATACCCATATTTTTAATAATTGCTTTGACTTATTAAATAATTTGAGTTTACCCTTTTAAACATATGGCAACCCTATTCAAAATATTTTAAAACCAAAACCTTGTTAAACCTTTTTCGACTTAATGTTATAAATGCTTATACTAAATATTTTTAATACTCCTTCGTTTGACGCCCATATTTCAATATTTCAGATAATTTAACTTAATTCGATTTTTTAAACAGTTGAAATCCTCTTCAAATTATTTTTAAACCAAAACCTCGTTAAACCTTTTTCGTCTATATTGTCATACATATTTAAATTATCTAATACTCTTAATTAAAATTGAATTTAATTATAAAATCAGGTGGCAACCCTCCTAAATGCAGCTTAGAAATAAAGTTTCTTCAAAGAATTTTGATTTATATTCTTTGTTATAAGGTGGCAACCCTCTGCAAAATATTTTCAAACAACAACCTCTTTCGACTGACATCCATATCAGGATATACCTTTAAATTTTTCTCCGTTTATTAAACCTTCTTCGTCTGACACTTGTATTGCCATACATATTCCAATTATTTAATACTCTTAACGAAAATTGAATTTAATTATAAAATCAGGTGGCAACCCTCCTACATGAAGTTTAGAAATAAAGTTTCTTCAAAGAATTTTGATTTATATTCATATTGATGCAATTTGTTTAATTTATTGCTTATATTGAACCTAACTTTGTTATAAGGTGGCAACCCTCCTACATATAATTAAGAAATAATGCATTTTCGAAACCATTTCGATCGATACTCATAGTGTAATAATTGATTTAACTTAAAAATAATTTGAATTTAATTTTTTCATCAGATGGCAACTCCTTTTGGAAAAATAAGAAGTTATTGCTCATCCACAGGCCAAGCCCTTTAATTTGATATCTCATTTTGCAAAATCGAACGAACAGTACTGATCTGGTATCACGAAAGAGTTTCGTATATATGCATTCATATTAGGGCTGAGGATTTCACCCGGGCACCCGAAAAAATGTGGAGAAGTAAAAATTAAGCACATTTACGATTTTATATCGCAAACGAACGTACATAGGGAAAATCTATAAGAATCTAACATATCATATGGTGAAATATTATAATATATATTCATATCTAAAGGTAGTAGCAATAATTTTACGATTGTAGAAGTATTAAACTGTAGGGAGCTAAAAAAAATAATAATAATAAGTTCGTTTTTATAAAATATGACTAGGTAAGAATGTTGCTCATACGCCATATATGTACTATTAATGATAATAAGTAACTACTTTACAAAAATCAACACCAGGATCAGCCGAAATACACAAAGCGAAAAATAAAACACAAAAGAACAAAAGTCTGGGGAACGTCCTGCTAGAGAACAAGGCGAGAACAAAAGTTTTGAAAACTTAACGTTAAGAATGAGAGGGGCGTCTGCGTGTTCGAAGGAAAAGAGTGAGAACCACGGATGTTAATTCTAAGCCAGAGGAAAGCTGGACCATTTCAACTTCCAGATCGTTTATCATTATGGTGAACTGTCCATTCATGAAACAATTTTTCATTTTCTGTGAAAGAAAAGTTCGTGTCTTAAGTCTTTCGTTAAATTTATTTGATTGACTTTAATGTTCAAACATTTCAAAGTCATGGAACGCTATGAGATAGTTCAGAGAAGATTTCACCCTTTTTCGAGAAAGTTCCTGGAACTTTAGCTCCCAAATTGTTCTTCTAGTGAATGTTCCTTAGACTTTTGTTCCCGTTTTATTCTTTGCCAAGACGTTCAGAAGAAATTTGTTAGCATTTTGTTCTCTTTGAAATGTTCCCGAAAGTATTGTTCGCATTTTACTCTCTCTGGGAACGTTCCATAAGGTTTTGTTATTATATAATTCCCAATGGGAACGTTCTCGTCAGTTTTGAAACACTTTATATATCATCGTACAGCATGGTGAAATAATAATAAGGTATTGTCACTTAGGGGGTGGTTGTTGTAATTTTGGCAATTTCGGCATACCAGCGTTGCTGTAATGGCTACTCTATTTATTCCAATTTCATTTCTGGGCAAAATGGAACAATAAATGGAGCAGACAATTTTGTGAAAAAAGTATTCGCAGGTATCACTGTTTCTTTGTTTCGCTTTTGCTTTGACCTTTCGTTTCAAATACCTTGGAAAACTTGAGCGATAATTTCCAATAATTGTGATTTTGTAAGTAAATTTTGGGTAAGATATATACCATACATATCCAACATATTATTGGAGCAGTGCCTCGGATGGCTACGATAATGCACTTTGGTCTAACAATTTAAACTCATAAATATTATATAATATAACTGATATAATTTAGAAATGTAATTTTAAAATGGCAAGGAAAATAAAGGTCGTAATCAAATTCCCTTTAAAGTTTAGATATTTAAACACTAAGTACGCATACACATTAGGGTGGGTCAAAAAAAATCAAGTTTTTTTTGATCCGACACACGAAAACTAGTTCCTAGGTACCTCTAGAAAGTACATACCACATCTGAGCTCTTAATATTAACGGGGAGATTATGCTCATCAATTCATTAATAAAATGGATAAATTGGAGATATTTATTAAAAAAACTATTAAAATCAGTAGGCATTGGAGTTCTACTGTGAATATCTTCTAAATGGTTAGAGTAATCGATTAACTACATGAGACCTTTTTTGTAGAGCATTTAATTCCCTATAGAAATAATTGAAACTCGTTTGAAAATAATTATTTTTAGTAAGTTACAAAATTCAAAACAAAAAGTTATTTTCCTTAAAATACTTCAATCTTTGACCTTGAATATCTTGTAAATGGTTAGATTAACGAAAAGAGTATATGAGACCAGCGTTCAATTCCCTATAAATATTGATGATGCAACTGGTTTAACGAGCTATTGGTGATAAGATATGACCATTTTTATATGAGACTAAATTGAAAATGGAAAACTATGATGAGCATAATCTGCCCGTTAATATTAAGAGCTCAGATTTGGTATGTACTTTCTAGAGGTACCTAGGAACTAGTTTTCGTGTGTCGGATCAAAAAAATTTTTTTTTTTTACCCACCCTAATATACATGTACTTCAGAACTTAAGGAAAAAATACAAATAAAATTCAATAGTCCTTATTTTTTAAGTTTTAACCATCATCATATGTGTGTGGTACGACCGAGTGGCCTTTTAAGTTTTACAAATAATAATTTTAAGGTAGAAAAATTAAACTGAATAATAATTATTAAAATCAATATATTTGATCGAAAAAATAAAAATTAGGTAATAATAATTTCTTTTGAGCGAAAAAATGAAACTGTAATTACACTGGTTTGTGGAAAAAATATTTGATTGATGCAAGCTTCATTTAACTGGTGTGGGGTCCACTGATATATATGTGAAAAAGTGAGGTTATGTAAGTGACATCACCTTATATTTATTTCAGAGTGCAGTTCCATAAGTAAAGTAACTCTTCTTCTTACCGTTTTTTCTGGCAGGCTGTAGGTGTGTGTTTGGCAGGCTGTAGGTGTGTTTTTGGTTATTGTATTGGTGTTTTTGGTTAAGTGTGTTAGTGTATTTTGAATAAATTGTAATAGAAATAAAAGAAATTCTAATAGAAATGAAAGAAATTGTAAAAGATAATAGCACATGCCAAAAAACAGGTGATCTCAGCTGTATGCATTTTTTGGCAATCAGCTGATAGTGTTTTTACTTATGAAACTGTACGATGCTTTATATTATTTCACTATGGGGATTGCCAAGCCTTCGCTTCCCATTGACAAATGCTAACCATTAACCATTAACCGAGAAAAACAGGAAACAGAGAAATTGCCGTGGAGATAACTTATACACTCAGAACGACGTTGCATCAAAATTCAAGTTTAACAACAACATATAAATGAATCGATTACTTTTGTCAATTTTACGATTTAATTGTATCGCAGTTTTGTGTTCATTAATCGATTACTAATCGATTAATTGTAAAATAATCGTAAAATTATTTTCAAGAAATATGAATTCTGTAGTTGTCTAAAATCCATCCATCGAACATTCTTTTTTTTCAGTTGCATCAACTTTACTTGACCCGAGGTTCTCAAAAATTAATTTCAAAGATTTGTTAGCATTGGCTTCAGTAATGAAGTTCTTGCGAAATTAAATAATGTGCGCAGATGATCTTATGGAAACGGGTAACGAGTCGTCATTAGATTCAGCAGAAAATGAGTTCGATCTTTGGGCCCCTCATAAATCTCTTGTACACAAACGAAGGCGAAATGATGATGATTTGGGTCACCCACAAGATGAAATGAGTTTTTATTTAAATTATCAAGTCCTAGAGCTAAAGCGTAATATCATCGATGCTGTTTACCCAAAACTTTACGGACTTTCGAAAAAATTCTGTCATTTAGTTGGTACCTCGGTGCCTGCTGAGCGCCTTTTTTCAAAAGCTGGTGCTACAGCCACCGAGAAACGCAACCGCTTGATAACAAAACGCTTATCATCATCAAACTTTTAGTTTTGCAAACTTGGTTAAATAATAAATTATTATCGCCGCTAAAAATACTCGTTTTATTTTAATTAAGGCTAATAATAAGAGATATAGAAATTTTTTTAAAGAACATTGTTTTTGGGAATACTGATTGTAAGAAAGTGTCTTAAAAAATTCGATTAATCGATTATTTCTCAATAATTGCAATAAATTGCAATTGATTTGTTTTGGCTTGTGATTAATCATATGATTAATTAATCGATTATTTAATTTTTTTTGCCATCCTTAGGCATGGGCAACCTTACATCGGTGTTCCTTATAGAGGTATTCATGCAGAGTTTGGAAGAAAGGAGCATGGAGTATCTTACGTCACAACTAGGAGCGACGTCCTACGCCAGATACGTTGATGACATCATATGTCTCATAACAAAGAAAAATAAAGAGCAGATATTGGAATACCTCAACAAACAGCACACCAATATAAAATTCACAATGGAACAAGAAATGGTAGGAAAGCTAAAATACTTAATAATTTAATGATTACTTAAGGTGTTCCTCAGTAACGATTTGAAAAAATTCCCTCTCAGAGTCAGTTAATGATTCGTGAACGGTATTTAATGAATATTAAAGTTAAGTAAAGAAAAACCTATACTTAAATTTTTAACGAATGATTGTGAAATTTTTTGTTTGTTTCCAATAAATTCCAATTTCGATAACGTTGCTGTTGTTGCTGTGAGAGTGGTAATGGCCCAGTGAGCAGAGCACTTTTGTGCCATTTGAAAGATCCGAGTTTGATCCTCGGCAACGGATTTTTTGTTCTTTTTTATTAAATTTTTTCTTTCCATTTTCATTCGAAATACAGAAAAGATCTTTCAAGATAGTTGCCGGAATATAAAGACTTTTGTCTTTCGAAAAACTGTAGTGAGTTGAAAGACAGATGCCAGAATTGGCCAGTTAGTGGTTTTGTTTATCTTTTAGTAGTTTCTAAAAATTAAATGAAATAAAAAAATATTTATTTTTTAAGCAATAAAACGTAAAAATTAAAAAATAATAATACGAAAAAAAACCCGTTGCCGAGGACCAAACTCGGATCTCTCGAATGGCATGTCAGTGCTCTGCTCACTCAGCCATTGTGACTGTTGAGGCAGTGCGGCGTAAAATGATATAAATACTTATTTTAATTTTATTGATTTCAAACTGAACGAAAAAAGTGAGTGATGCCACAAAAAAGGGCCGCAACTGGGGTCATACTTAAATTTTTCATTTCATAATTTTTTACTGTGAGAGGAACCATTAATTAACTGATTTTTAAAATTTTTATTGAGCTTTGTACCACGATTGTTTATTAGGAAAAATTGAAAAAGCAACAAAGTCTAAGCGGTAGAAGTTATAGCACTATTTCGGAGATCACCACATCTCCTCATCAGACTTCTTTTTCTTGACTTCAGCAGGGATCGAACCTGCGAATTCGATGTTCAAAGTCAGAAGCGTTAACCACTGANTGTACACCCCTGCTTCCATAGTAGAGAATTACAGGAATTAAAATTTTGAAATAAAATGAAACACAGGGTGTCCCTCAAAAATTTAAAAAAATGCTAAATTTTAATGGAATGAATAAAAAATATATGTAAAAATAGGTTTTTTATTATTTTATTAAATAGTACGGGCTTTTAGCTTTCAAAATAAGAAATGAAAACCTGCTACTTTTTTGCACTTTCTGAAGTAGTCGTTTTTTCGCTAATGCATAAAATTATTTTTTCATTTTTTTGTCAGTTCCTTGAGATCTGCACGATTCGTTCAATCGTCCTGTCCTGACAATAGAAAGTTTATTTGTTTGCCACCTGTTAAAAAATTAGATTGTTAAAAAATTAGATTCACATTTTTTTATAAGTTAAATGAATTACTAGGAGTTGGGTATCGATCGAAATGTGTATTAACTATATGCAGCGAGTTGCCACCTGTTTAAAAAATCGAATTCCACCTGAATTAAATGAATTAGGTAATTGAAATAAATAGGTATCACCATAAGGGAGTCAGACGAAAGAGGCTTAAGAAAATTTTAGCTTAAAAATATTACGAATGGGATTGCCACCTGTTTGTAAATTCGAATTTAGTTAAACTAAAATAATAATTACGTCAAACCATAGGATTACATACAAATACATACATTGTCAATCAGTGATTTGTTCTGATTACATTCCTTTTAATTTACTGGAAAATTAACTCAGGAATGTTTTTACTCTTCACTTATTTCTTTCTAAATATGCCAAATTTTTTCATTTTTCTGATACTCATATTGATATACATACATATTTCAGTTTCCCTATTTTCCTTTAATTAAAGTGAATTTGATTTTTTAAACATGTGACAACCCTTCTATGTGGCATTTAGAAGTAAAGTATTTTCAAAACTAGTTTAATTGATACCCATATTGTAATATCTAATTCATTTGACTTAATTAATAATTTTAATAAAATTTGTAACAGGTGGAAACCCTTTTTAAAAATAAAAAAAAATTTATTACACCTCTACAGGCCAAGCCCTGTTATTTGACACCTCACTTTTGAAAATAGATCTAACTATATGTATATATCTACTTATGTAAAAGCCACAAGAACCCAAATTTTCAACTTCAAACTGCATTTACAGTGCAAGTATGAAATTTATCTAAAAACAAATTGCATTTTTGAATTTAGCGTCCTCAATTTTACTAAGAAGCGAATTTACATTTAAAGCCGTCCATAATTCTATTTTGGCCCACATTTTATATGGAAGGGAAGCACTGCGCGTCGGAAAGCAAAACTAGAGATGTTACTTGAACCCTTGGCCCCTAGTTTCGTGAGTAAATTGAGTCATTCATGTCTCTTAAAATTTTTTCGTTTTGTCCAACGGTGTAATTCTATACTGTGATAGGAATGCAATGGGGTATAGTCGTTGTGCTGAGTATGCAGTTACAGTTGCACGGCTATACTCGATCCCGACCCTTGCGCCCTCGTTCGCGCACTCTGGGCAACGTGAGCAACCCATGTGCGAGATGCGGCAACCACTCCGGTTTAAGGGCTCCACTCCAGTTTAAGGGCTCACTGAAGTCTGCAGCGTCTGTTCACTAGTAGATGCGGCTGCAAGCGGGTGTTTGTATTGGAGCTAGCGGCTCGCTATATAAACGTGTATTTGGTTGCGAAACCACTCCGTTCCAGCAATGGGTTGTACGCCGTCACGTACAAACCCCTTCCAGTGAAGAAGCGAAACAATGCCTCGGATGAGAGACTCCGTCGCCGAGTACTGTCGTTCACCCCGGTGGACGAGCGTCTAACCACAATCAGCATCAAAGCGAAATTGCGCCCATGCCCCGATGAAAGAGAAGGATGAGGTATCTAAGGATCTCTTCTATGAGATATCCAAATCGTGCTTGGCGACTTCAATGCCAGGGTGGGCAAGGAAGGAATCTTTGGAACTACCGTCGGAAAATTCAGCCTCCGCGACGAAACGTCCGACAACGGACTGAGGCTGAACGATTTCGCCGAAGCCCGAAACATGATAGTATGTAGTACTAGGTTCAAGCATAAAAAGATTCATAAAGCTACGTGGCTGTCTCCGGATTGAAAACGAGAAACCAAGTCGCCCATATTGTGATAGACGGAAGGCAGTGTTTTGGACCTACGTACTACGCAACTTGTTGTAGCCAAGATACGCACCCGCCTCTGTGCAGAAAACAATGTGCGCCCGAACATGCAAGGAAAGTTTAACGTCGAAAAGCTACAATAACAACAGAGAGCCAATGCATTCGCTACTCGACTCCCACACCTGCTCTCAGAGAGCACTCTTCAACAAACTGACATATGTGAGCAGTGTAACAACACCTCCCGCTCATTAAGTACCGCCGCCGAAGAAGTAGTCGGATTTCAGCGAGCCCGAAAGAACAACTAGTACGATGAGGAGTGTCAGGAAGCTGTAGAGAAAAGGGATGCCGCCTACAGGGCCACGCTGCGTTCGGGCGCAACGCGCGCTATGTGGGACCGCTATAGGGATTTGAAGAGGGAAGCGAGGCGTATTTTCCGCAGTAAGAGAGAGGCCGAAAAATTTTACCAGAGAGTTAGGCGACTTACGAAAGGCTTCAAGACCAGGGCGTACTCCTGTAAGAACAACAATGGCGACCTAGTTACCGATGTTCAGAACGTACTTATATTATGGAGGGAACACTTTTCCATGCTACTGAATGGTAGCAGCACGGAAAGTTGTGGAGAAGAGGAACCCGAGCCCCCAGTCGATGATGACGGAGTCGATGTCCCTCCGCCTGACCATGATGAGGTACGAATAGCAATAACGCGGCTGAAAAACAACAAAGCAGCTGGAGCTGACAGCCTGTCAGCTGAGCTATTTCAGTACAGTGGCGAGGAGTTGATAAGGTGCATGCATCAACTCTTATGCAGAATATGGTCAGCTGAACGCATGCCCTACGACTGGAATTTATGTGTGCTCTGCCCACTCCACAAGAAAGGCGGCCCCGGTGTTATCGAGCGTATTGTGGGAAGGATTGAAGCCCACTGTCAACGAGCTGATTGGGCCTTATCAGTGTGGCTTTAGGCCTGGAAAATCCACCATAGACCAGGTATTCACAATACGCGAAATCTTGAAAAAGACCGGCGAGAAAAGAAGCGACACTCACCACCTATTTGTCTACTTTAAAGCCGTTTTCCACAACACTAAAAGGAGTGGCTTATACGCCGCTATGTCTGAATTTGGCATTCCTGCCAAACTCATACGGCTGTGTAAAATGACGATGAGCAATACCGCCGGCTTCGTCAGAATTGGGAAAGACCTCTCCAAGCAGTTCGCTACCAAACGGGGCTTCAGACAGGTCAACTCTCTTTCATGCGACTTCTTTAATCTGATGTTGGAAAAGATAATAAGAGCTGCAGAACTGAACCACTCAGGAACAATTTACTACAAGAGCGTGCAATTGCTGGCTTATTCCGATGACATCGACATCATCGGTAACAAAAACCGCGAAGTCTGTTCTGCCTTTTCCAAGTTTGATAAGGGAGCAAAGCAAATGAGTCGGTGGTAAACGAGGACAAGACGAAGTATCTCCTGTCATCAAACAAACAGTCAGCACATTCGCGCCTTGGCACCCACATTACTTTTGACAGTTATAATTTCGAGAAAGTAGAGAATTTCGTGTACTTGGGAACCAGCATTAACACCGATAAAAATGTCAGCATTGAAATCCACCGTAGAATCACTCTTGCCAACAAGTGCTACTTTGGGCTGAGTAGGCAACTCAATAGTAAAGTCCTCTCTCGACGTACGAAAACGACACTCTATAAGTCACTCATCATGCCCGTGCTGGTATATGGCGCAGAAGCATGGACAATGACATCATCGGATGAGGCGGCTCTTGGGGTATTCGAAAGAAAGATTTTGCGGAAGATTTACGGGCCTTTACGCGTTGGCGACGGCGAGTACCGCAGACGATGGAACGATGAGTTGTATGAGCTTTACAA